GGACTAACATATTTCGAAACTACAAATGAAATACTATTTTGTGCTGCAAAAAAAGTTTCAAAAAAGAAAAGTTGAAATTTTCGATTTCTTTGATCACTTCCTGTGACGACCGGAAGTGACGGAGAACTGTGTTAACCCAAATGGTTTTGCCTACTTATCAAGATCTATTACTCATATAAGTTTGGTGTCTTCATCTCTTACCGTTTCTGAGATATGACTGGGACAAAAAGTTTTTGAAAAAAGCGGAAATCGGACATATCTGACGACCGGAAGTGAATTTTGAAAAACTGAAAACTGCATTTGGAAGATATTTTAATTTTCTATCATCCCTGAAAATTTCATGAGAATCCATCCAGTCATCTCTGAGAAATCGTCAAAAAATGAAAAGGGAAAAAAAATAATAATAAAAAAGAAAAAACAGTAGAATCACTATAAGGTCTTCCGTCTGAAACGGAAGACCTTAATAAGAAACAGAGTAAAAACAATATGTTCCCCAACTTCGTTTGGGGAACATAATGAATGGCAATGCAACTGATGACTTTAGCGATAATGGTTGTGCCAGTTCACCCTTTACTATTCTTCATAGAATTTGTTTACTCATCTATATAAATGAAGTTAGTTAAAAAGTTGATTCGCAAGAAACACATGTACATGTACGTCTGATTCAATTTTCTTTTAACGAGGTTGGTTCCTGATATTTCAAGTCTTTAACTTTTTTTGTGAAGTGTATATTTAAAAATTTCTACATACATAGCTTGAGGACAGATGATACAAACAAATATTTTCTTTGGAGAAGACTTAATATCATGTGTCATGTTTAGAAAAGTGGATAATTCTTAGAATGTTTTCTTCAAAAAACTGGCAAATGAAATAGACTTGGAGAATTTTAGTAATATTTCAATAAAATTATAAATGTGGATAAAACACACTCAGTAAAGGTTTACGTATGGAAATGAATTTTAGAATATGTTACATTGGAGCTAAAAGTGCAATATAATCTTTAGAAAGTTACAAGCCAGGCAAATTTTATCAGGAAAAGCAAAATAGTAAAAATTAGCTTATATTATATTGATTAATTTTTGTCATTTTGTTTTTCTTCTTAAAAATCACCTGGCTTGGTATATTTTTCTAAGGTTTATATTGCTCTTTTAGCACTAAGATAACATATTCTGAAATTTGTTTTCACTTGTAAACCTTTACTTAGTGCGATTTTTTCTATTTTTAGCTCTACTGGTCAGAAACCTTAAGAGCTTATGCGATAGTAATGCGTCCGTCGTCCGTCCGTCTGTCTGTCTGTCCGTCTGTCTGTAAACATTTTTTTTAAATGCTACTTCTTCTACAGTTTTGGTCTGATTTCAATATAACTTGGCACACAAGTAGACTACACTAAGATACATAATTCTATGTATCGGTTTTTGATTTTGATGGAGGGTGTTGCCGTGGTTACTAAAAATAGAAATTTCTGTGAAATTCTTTCAAAATGCTACTCCTCCTACAGTTTTGGTCTGATTTCAATATAACTTGGCACACAAGAAGACTACACTAAGATACATAATTCTGTGTATTGGTTTTTGATTTCGATGAAAGGTGTTGCTGTGGTTATTAAAAATAGAAATGTCTGTTAAATACTCTCAAAAGGCTGCTCCAAATACAGTTTTAGTCTGATTTTACAGATAATGTGGCATGCAAGTAGACTACACTAAGAACATAGGAGACTTATAATCAAGGATCATTATTCAATTTATTGTTGTTGTAAAGTTTAAATTGCTGCTTAAGTACTTTTCTCTTCCTTTGCTATAAGTACAAACCAGTAGAGCTTCAGTCTTGACAGAGACTTCTGGTTTTTTTTTTCATTGAAATATTACTAATATTTTCCAAGTCTATTTCATTTCCCAGTTCTTTGGATAAAAAATTCTAAAAATTATCCATTTTTCTACACTTCTGACAGGTTATTAAGTCTCTTCCAAACAAAAAAATTGTTTGTATCCTCTGTCCTTAATTAAAAATCAAATCAAAAAATAGGAGTCAATGTGTTTCTTTTGCCGCTACAATAATTTAATACTGTTTATAGTTCAACAGGGAGAAATTGATTGCCATAAAATTTAGTACGGAAGAACGAACAAAGATAGACTTTTGCCTTCACAATGTTTTCTTCAGTTCTTCTTCATGTTGTTTAATTCTTTGCAGGGCGCGGTGATCTACATTTTTCTAGTATTTCCTTTAAGGTCTCATAATTATTCAATGAAAGCCTTCCGTCCTTTTCAAGTGTATTGAAATCTTCATCAACAGTGGTTGAGTGATACCTTGGTGCCGAGTATAGGATCCTAAACTGTTGTTTCCACGTTCTGAAAAGTATGCCCATTATCCACAGACGCATCAAGATAGTTGTTCACCAAGTCAGCAATTAAACTCCTATGAAGTTTCTCTGGCACATGCATCTCTTTGTCATGAAGATTTGTCCCTTCGCCTGGAAGGAAAGAAAAATAAGATAAGTATGTTTAGTTTATTATGTTCCTGAAACAAGGTTTGGAAGCGTTTTTTTTTTTTTTACTTTTTTTTTATTGTATTTTTTTTTTTTTTGGACATAAAAAAATAAACCATATATATAAAAGAGTTAATGGTGAGCCGATTTATCTAATTTTCAATGTATGGTGCGTGACATTTACACCCGGGAAAATGTTCAAAAACAACACAGTATCAGTGAAAAGAAATCACTTATTAGGTCACCTGAGTAACTCAGGTGACCTATTGCTATCCGTTTTCGTTCGTCGTCGTGCGTCGTGCGTCGTGTGTCGTGCGTCGTGTGTTAACATTTGAACATTTTCAGCTTCTTCTCTGAAACCACTGAACCAATTTCAACCAAATTTGGTATACAGCATCTATGAAGGGAAAAAACAATTGTGAATTTCATGGTCCCCGCCCCCCTGGGGCCTGAGGAGTGGGGCCAAAACCACTAAAATTATTGCAATATTTAAAAATCTTCTTCTTTACTCCTGGACATCAAGCAGGCAAACTGTTAGCATGAATGTAATAAGCATTGAGTCCTCTGCCAAAATTGTGAAATTCATGGCTACATATATTACATGTACAGTCAAACTTGTTTTAAGAGGCCACCTTTGGGAAGTCTAGAAACTGGCCGCATAAGACAGGTGGCCTCTATTCCAGTTTGCCATCGAAAAGGACATTTGGTCAATAAATAAACAACATTAAGCACTACAGTTAAATTAATTAATCATAATTAAACAGTTCAATTTCACAAAAGCTTTTTATGTGTATATATAAAAATTCAAGCTCATTTAAGAAGAATATTAAAGAATTCGAAATGTTTAAGGTTTTGTGCATGTTTCTGTTCCTCATATTAGTTTAACATCTTGCATTCATAAGTTTGCTTTTGTTACATTGAATTATTAAATAAATTCTTTTGAAATACATACAGCATGTACAGTGCCAGACTATTAACCTTCTGTATAAAGAAAAAATACACAAAAATACAGATTTATGGTAAATAAAATAAAGCATAGGAATTACGTAAAAATATGTCAATAAAAATTTCACTTCCATATTTTAAAAAGATAGTCAGCAGTGTAACCCCCCCCCCAACTTTATTACCGGGGTAATCGGTAATTAACTTACTTGCTGAAGTTTATAAAGTCTGATTTATTTTATTGTTTATAAAGCTGTCAGCATTTCTATTTAACATACACAGACACACAAATAAAATTAACCAGTTGACCAGAGAGATGTATTTACGCAGTTGAAAATCATTCCATAACACAGGTGTCAAATGCAGTAGAGCGTGACTAATCCCTATCGATCCTCTCTTGATAGTGAAATTCACGAGATAATCATGCCATATGAAGCACTTTGTTTTTACAAAAGTAGTAATTAGGGCTTCAACATAGAATCAAAATCTAAAAGGTGTGAATTTCTTTAGCTAGAGAAAGTATCAATTGTAATTAAATTCTTTCAATTTTTCAATCAGCGATCTTGAAAAATAATTACAAATTAATCTAACAGGACAAATATTTTTTTTTCATAAACACAAAACAGAGTTCAGCTTATCTAAAACCAATTTGTTTGATAGCATTAATAGGTTTAATTGACTATCAGGATATAAATACCCAAGCCAACATGTTTAAAAGGTGTGATGAAATCGCGACAAGTAACGAAATGGCCGCTTATTACAGTTTCAATAAGACTGTTGGGGGAGGATTTGAGTGGCAGCTGGCCGCGTTACACAGGTGGCCGTTTATTCCAGTTAAAATATATAGGAAAAATCATCGGGGGGAACTGAAAGTGGCCGCTGACCGCGGGTGGCCGTTGATTTCGGGTGGTCGCTAAGACAAGTTTGACTGTATATAGTGAAAATGCATTACTTCTTTGAAAATCTTCTTCTCTGCTCCTGGGTATTAAATAAACTAACTAGGTACATAGTATTAATGAGCAAGAGTGCCTCTTCCAGATTTGTGAATTTTAAGGCCCCGGGGTCAGGGTGTTCTGGTGTTAGGGCGGTGGTCTATAAATTATATAGTGAAAATGCATTTATTCTTTGAAAATCTTCTCCGCTTCTGGGTATTAAATAAACTAAATACATAGTTATGATGAGCAAGAATGCCTCTTCCAGATTTGTGAATTTATGGCCCCATGGTCAGGGATTCTGGTGTTAGAGCGGGGCTCTATAAATTATATAGTGAAAATGCATTTATTCTTTGAAAAACTTCTTCTCTGCTTCTGGGTATTAAATAAACTAAGTACATAGATATGATGAGCAAGAGTGCCTCTTCCAGATTTTTGAAGAACTGCGAACGATAGCATTTCTCCCGCCTACCTCCAAGTCAATTTTCAAATGTTAAAATATTTTATGAATTTTTAATAATTTTTATAGATAATTATATGGATTTTAATTAAGCATTGCTTATTGTGGAAAACAACGAAAGATAACTCTAAAACTTTGGTAAGCTCGTGCTTTTCACTATAGAAATCAACGGAAAACGGTAAATATTTTTAAAACATCTTTTCCCCCGTGATACCAAATATTCCTTCTTCCGGGTAATATGGACTGTTATTTCACAAATTCATACCAAAGCTTTTTGTGTTTCACGGGGGGGAACTTATGTTTATAGACAAAAAAAAGATAAAAGTGTTTATTTTCCACCAATTTCAAAGCGATTTACAATTGAAGCATTATATTTTATTTGATATATTTATGTTTTATTTATTTGCCTAAGACAAAAGAAAAGATATAAAGAACATTTAATCATATCCAAGACTATTTCAGAATAGGGTGATGCCTGAAACTCCGATTTCAATGGAAAATATCGTCTACTCCCCTTTTTTCAAGAGGTGGAATTATGGATAATTTACTGTTTAGCGCTGGTATTAAGACAATTCATCAATTAACATTGAACTGTTCTTTGTATTAAACTAAGATTTTATAACCAAATTGCTATTCATTTTGAATTAAATGGTTCCAAAATGAAGGCGGGAATCGATAGTTAGCGTGCGTATTTCTTTTATGGCCCCAGGGTCAGGGATTCTGGTTTTATCGGGGCTGTATAGATTATATAGTGAAAATGCAGTTATTCTTTGAAAAAAATCTTCTTCTCCTCGCTTCTGGGTAATAAATAAACTAACTAAGTACATAGTATATGATGATTGCAAGAGTGCCTCTTCCAAAATAGTGAATTTTATGGCCCAAGGGTCAGGGGTTCTATCAGTGTAATCAGGGCAGGAAATTTTTAGATTATATAGTGAAAATGAATTTATTCTTTGAAAATCTTCTTCTCTGTTTCTGGGTATTAAATAAACTAACTAAGTTCATAGTTATGATGAGCAAGAGTGCCTCATCCAGATTTGTGAATTTTATGGCCCCAGGGTCAAGGGTTCTGGTGTTAAGTCGGGGGCTGTATAGAAATATATAGTGAAAATGCATTTATTAACAGTATGAAAATCTTCTCTGCTTCAGGGTATTAAAAAACTAACAAAGCACATAGTTACGATGAAAACAAAAGCACCCTATCGCTCACCTGAGCACATTGTAAAATTTATGGCCCCAAACTGGTCAGGGGCTCTGGTGTTAGGGCAGGGCTCTATTGAATATATAGTGAAAATGCATTTATTCTTTGAAAATCTTCTACTCTGCTTCTGAGTATTAAATAAACTAATAAAGCATAGAGTTATGAAAAGAAAGAGTGCCTTTTCCAAAATTGTGAATTTTATGCCAATGATCCAAGTATGTATATTTATGATGAAGAAAGTTGCAATTAGCAAAATGTTTTTTATGCCCGAGGGGGGGGGGGTGTACATAGTATGAAAATAAATTAATGCTTTGAAACCTGCTCTTTGGTATTAATCAACCATTTTTATGAAAAAATTTGCAAAATTTTGAAATATTGGCCTAAGGGTTTGGTTCTTTTGGGGTGAGGTGCACAACTGGTTATAAAGTGGAAGAACATTTTTCTCCTTGTATCTCTGATTTACCTCTGGGTATTGAGTAAGTAGAGAATTTTTAATTATGATTTGCAATATTGCCTCTTTCAAAATTGTGAATTTCATGGCCTCTGGTTTAAAATACAAACTAAATTTAATTGTTTGAAAGTTGTTACACAATACTCAGGTGACCTATAAGACCCGTGGGCCTTTTAAAGTTATTTCAATTATTTATTTAAATCATATTTTATTTAATTATTTAAATAAAGAAAAACATGTAAAAAAAACGCGTTCAGTTAATTTATCTTGCCTTTTAAAATGTTAAGAATACTTGAATTAATTACAAATTGTATAATTATATTGTTAATTTCCATCTTTTAGAATTTAGATGCCAAGTTTGGCAAATCACTGTAACTGCAGAAACTCTTTAATGTGCAGGATAGAGAGGGACTTAAAACTAGTCAGGGTAGCATATTGATAGGGTGTGTGCTTCGACTCAGTGAAAGGTAGGATTCTATCTCAATAAACTTTCGCTGCATCAAAACTTGAATATATGTTAATTTCAAACTAATCATATAATTCAATTCACCATTCAAACAAATTTAGGAATCAGATGGCATGGATGAGTTAGCATCCCATGCCCACTGGTGTAACCAGCCGTGTGGTTTATGTAATGATAGGTTGTATTTGCTGACAAGGTCATTGTTTGGACCATAGGACTTATAAAATGATGACCCTTTGAACAAGACTGTTGATATTCTTCTCTCATCAACTTTCTTGTCGGCATCTTAATGTGCGTTAGAAATTGAGAGATATATACCCATATAAGAGTATTTTGCTGCATTAATAAGGGAAGTTGATAATAAAAAATAATAAAGTTACCCTGTTTATTATTAAATTTAAGTTAACCAAAGGACATAAACGCCAACCCTAGGAATTTCCAGAAGTGTTATTAGGTACAAAGGAAAAGTAAACAGCCCCTATTGACCAGTTAAAACCGCCATGAACTATATGCATTGATCTAGCAAACTTAACATTCCATGGTCTATTTAGGTATAAAAACAAACGCCTAATATTTGATATGAAACAAGTCAGCCAAAAGAATACCGAATATTTACATTTTCATGAAGTCAAATATTCCACTGTCCTTTAAGGACGTTCGATCCTGATATTTTGAGCGTATTTCGCGCAGGTCATTTATTCATAAAATTAAGCATCATTTTTAGGTTCTAACAATAAAACTGAATTGTACAATGCAAATTAAACTAAATTCAATGAAAAAACCGCGATTAAATTCCATTCAAGTAGAATTAAGCTAGGGACTATATTTTGTGGCGGAAGGCTTTTTAGACGAAAATCATCAGTTTTTTTCTATTTGAAATATAACAGTACTGTTAATTTTGGATGCCTATTTTTCCATGCTGGTTGCACACAAAGTTGTTTTTTGCACTGAAATATGCTATGCTGGTTCTGAATTTATCTATTAAATTATTTCTTATGAATTCTATCAACAAAGTGTGACAAATATAGTAAATATATTCTGAAAATCCGGGAAAAAATTGAGTCAATTTTAACGTAAAATTTTACACTTTTTTTGTAATATTTGAAAATTAAGATCATATACCCCTACTTTTGATGTTCTTTTCTAAATATTCAAGATAACTTTGACCTATTTGCTTAAAATCAGAAAAAGTTTAAGACTTTAAAATAATTTTCTTGCTTATTATATTTTCAATGCCGGAAAAATAACATTTTATTAGTGCAGAAAGGTCAAATAATTGATTATGCGAAGCAATTTGAAACTTTATCTTAGTCACAATTTTTAAGTGTCTTTTTTTAAACAGACTTAGAGTTCATTTTGTTTCATGCTTTAATTGCATAAAAATATTGAAGGGAAAACGTCGAAGATGTAATTTTTAATTAAGACACATTTCAGTGCAGAAAGGTCATATTAAATGTACTGTAGCGCTAAAAGAAGCATATTGACCCCCATTTTTTGATTTGAATTTCAATTAAGCTATGTATGTAGAAACTAAAAATATACTTGGCAAAAAAAGTTTAAGACTTTAAATATCAGGATCGAACATCATTAAAGACTTTTTATTCTATATAGAATTATATAGTGGAAATAATTATCTGTTTGAAACTTACAATAGTGACGGTTTCTTCGTCATTTTTTTTTTTTTTTTTTTTGAGTTTTTCGAATGAAACCTTCAAAGCCGAGGGCCTGCATCACAACATGCACTGTTACGATGAAAACCTTGCACTGCTAAGTTCCCGTAAATACCTATTTTTGTCTACGTTTAAAGACTGTCATCAACATACGTGTCCAGTTTTGTTGAAAAGGCTTGCTTTTTATTTTAACGTTGGGAGATGGTTGTATAAAGAAGTGTTCATTAAGGTCTTCCGTTTCCAACAGAAGACCTTCTACTGATTCTGGTGATTAAGATTAATAGAGGATATTCAATGTTTTGTAGTTGAATATGGAATTTATTTCACGAGTGGGACAAGATTTTTTTTATATTTTCACGAGTGCGAAGCACGAGTGAAAATATCAAAAAATCCTGTCTCACGAGTGAAATAAATTCCATATTTAACTACAAAACATTGAATTTTCTACTTATTACATTTTAAAAAAAAATTCTTTGATTTTTCCTTTCTCTCTGTATTTTTGTAATAGTCATAGACTCGTGACGTCATAGTTGAGCGTTGAGACGTCATTGCTATGTGAGGTGAAAACACTGTAAACATGAATTTAGCAACATATGTTTTGTAATTTTGACAGTTTTATTCGTCGTCAGAATGGTTTATTTATTTCCATCTATCTTATATTAGGTCAAGGGAGATTTTCTTTATAGCAATCTTCGTAATGAGAAGGGAAATCGAGAGTTTTCCCGCACTTTTGATATCCATCACACTGTGACAGGATATCATTTTGATATCCTTTCACAGTGTGACAGGATATCATTTTTATTCAATGAATAAATTACAGTATTTCACGGGTAAAAATGTAATAATTCTTATTATTCTTTTTTTTTCTTTCCCTAGACGCCAACTTTGAGCCTCATATTTCACTCATTTCTCGATGGATTTCTGTTGGAAATTTTCAGAGTTGATAGACGTTACTAAACTCTATCAGAATGTTATATTAAAATTTCAAAAAGTCACTTCCGGTTTTGAGTTATTACCCTTTAAACGAAAATTTATAGGCTTTCGTTTCCAGACAAGAAGGCTCAGAGACGGCTAAAGCTGGAGCAAAAATTTTACTCATTTTAGATAATAGAAGGATTAAAGTTGTGCATAGTGGTTTTTGTTTTTTCGATTTCTCTATTCAAAATGGTGCTATATAGGGGTCAAAAATTAGAACACTTAAAAGAACGAAAATTTAACACATATTTTGCTTTTTATCTTCTAAACTAAAAATATTTTGTTAAAACATATAGAACAAAATTTATGCAGAATTACAAGATCTTTCGAATGATATCTCGAAAAAAAAAGGGCTGACTCCTAAATTAAGGGATCTAGAGGAGCCAAAAGTTTTTTTTTCCAGATATTTCAAAAAGTATTGAGAATTTGTAATACATCCAAGAAGCAATGTTGTTCAAAATGTCAAGCTTAATCTAATCAAAATGTGTCCGGCGACGTTACTTCCGGTCAAACCGGAAGTAGTCAGAAAATGCATTTTTTTTGCTGTTCTTGACAAGTTTATGGGTAACATATATCACAAGAAGCACAAAACTTAATTTTCTGTCCATCGACATCACTTCCGGTCAAACTGGAAGTAGCCAAAAATAGCTTATTATTTAAGGTTTTGATGCAAAATTGAAATTATAAAGTGAGTGGAGACGACTAAGATCATTGCTTTCTTTTTGCTGATGTCACTTCCGGTCAAAACAGGACGGAAGACCTTCTCGATGCTTTGCAACGAGCTTTGTTCTAGTTCAATTGATTTTCGTGAATGTTTTGAATCAAAATTTCCAAAAGTTCCATAGAATTTATGCATTAAATATATTTCTAGACGTGTCTTTTCTTGTTCTTTAGAAATAAATGAAAGCTCTGTCATGTGTTTTATTATTCTTTTAGATTAACCCTACTAAAATGGTCGTTTTATAAATAAGTAATAATATAAATTTTAAAGAATTAAAGAAAAAGTGAGCAAGCTCACATACAACCCAAAGTCGAAGTCCTGAAATTCCCGAAAAAAAGGAATTTACTGGTAATATGCACATCAACACATTGTGTCCTAATAGGTGCAAAGTTTGACGAAATTGTGTGCAGTGGTTTATGAATGAGGAGTTGCGCTGACAAACTTGTCATCTCTACTGCATAGTTTATTCAAGATATGGTAAAAAATCTAAGTGTAAAAGTGCGGAAATTCCCAACAAAATTATGATAAAAAAAACAAAACTGACGGACTGAATGACACACTGATTGAGTGACTGACTGACGAGTCAAAAAAATTATACCTCATGCACATTCTTGCGTGGGTATAATAAACATAAACTACAATTAAGCATATAATTTTTTTTTATAGTTTTTGTTACAAAACACCCTCCCAACCTCCTGTCAGAATCCAAGGTCCCGTCAAAGTCCAGTGTATTGAGTCAAGTACCGGATAAAACTCTGCAATTCATTGGAGGACGATAAGAAATTTAAAAAAATGGAGATTGCTGAAGATGACTAAATGACAAAACTTACCACTAGGTTGAAAAGGGCTGATATGGGTAAGTTCTAGCACTACTTTATTTTGCACCTAAACGAAATCCTAAGTGTTATTTTTTTTACACTATTTGACTGAACAAAATTTATATTGTACCCGCTAAAGAGTTAATGGGAGGTCCTAGCATGCCTTCAAATTCAGTAACCTTAGTAGCGTGAGTCTTTCTACAATGCTCCAAATATTTAGGTGAGCTTTAGCAAACTTTTTAATTAATGATATTTAGCCTCGCATCCATCCAAAATATTTGTCGCGTAAAATGATACATCAAATGAAAAATGAAAAATGCTTACCATATTTCCAAAAGCGAAGCAGATCATTTTTGTTGATTACATGATGATTTTTGAACCCATGATTGGGACAATTGAATTCGCCTCCACCAACCAAATCTTTTTCCAGAATAAAGCTAGTGGCATTTTCCTCAAGTATGTATTGCTTTGAACATTGATAGCCGATGTCATACAAAGTTTCCTTGTGAAAGATTTTAGTCAAGTTTTCCAGGACATCTTCTATCGTTTTCTTAATTTTCCTTGTAATTTCTCCAATGAGCTGCCCATTCCCTTGTTTAAATATCTGAACCTGTATCGTTGATGTAGTAACAGCTACACCTATCATGTGTTCTTTAAACGTAAATAAAGCGATATTCTTAAACAAACACTTCTGTCCATTGTCTTCAATAACAGTCCACTTTGTGCTGACTATACAGGCTACTATGAGACGGAAATAAAAGAAATATGGCAGGAACCGGAAATTGAAAACCAAAACAGGGGTTTTTTTGTTCCAAATCTGTGATATAATCTTTCAGATCTTTATCAAAGTCTAATTTGTTCATGCAAGGGACATAGTGCGCCTTTTTACCCTTAGCAAGCAACCCCATCGTTGCATATATTTCAAGGTAGTGTTGCATTTTCTTGGTACAATGTTTTTTTTTTCCCAAATCCCTTTTAATAGCTCTCTAGATAAATAGCCATTTCCCAAAAAAAGTTTTTCCAATCTTTGTCATTCTCAACAAGATCCCTGGCATGTTTTGGATCTGTTATTTATATTAAAACAATCTACAAACCACTGCACATTTTTTTTCTATGTTTCAAGTGATCTTCGTTGAAATACAGAATTACCCCAATGTCATGATAAAACTGGAGCACATCAAATGTCTCCTTCTCTTTCCAGTTTTATTTATTAAAACTTTTTTCTAAAGTTGAAAGGGAAAGTTTTTTCCCCACTTTGTTTGTTCTGTCTAAAACTACTTCACAATATGCCCAATCCTTCGGTATGTTCTCTCTCCAACATTTCCAAAGAGATAGAAGCGATACATTCTACTAAATATTTAAATTTTATCCATAGGTTTTTCATTCATAGGAAACCCAATGTGGAAGCAGCGTTCTCGGTAAGATTTTTTCAGAACAGGCTCATTCTTCAAAAGCTCCAGCAAATCATCATAAATTGATCTGTCATCCTAGTATAAAGATAAATGTCCACTTAGTTTACCATGCCCTTAAAATTTTAAAAATTCATTGTACGTACATGTCAACAGACTATGAAACATTAATTACTTTTAAGGGAAAAAAAAAAAACACACCAAAATGTGTATGTGCTAGTTAAACGAAAGAATTGGTTTTGGTGCATTTTATTTAAAAACTTTTTCATCGACACGTCCAAAATTTTTCACTTCGTCAGAATGGGTTGCTATTGTTTCCACTGGAGTGTCATCTTCGCAGTAGGTATGGATAGATTTCAACCAAAAAATGACATATTCTGAATTTATAAATTAATAAAGTAATAAATTAATGAAAGATAAATATATATTAAATTTTACTTTTAATTCTCAAAAATAAATTTTTTTTTTTTTATTTTAGCTTGAAGGTTGTTATAAGCCCTTTGAGGATTTTTCACTTATATGGAGACCCCAACACTCGCCAGTAAAGATCTGCAAATCTTGTTCATTCTTTACATTTACAGCCATTGACAGTTTTTTTGCCAGCACCTCCTGCGACACGGGGCTAGTTTTTACGGTCTCATCCATAGGACCGGTCTACGTGTCCTAATGGGATTCAAACCAGTGATGTAAGGATATCTTGCGATTCTAGAACAGATGTTTTAACCACTGCGATCATAAGGATAAGCAGTATATCAGTCATATATATTTGAATGCCCTAGCCTATATGTGAAAAAAAAAAAAAACTGTCCCATAAAATTCCTTTTTTGTGGCAATCGTCTTTCAATTGTAATGAAAATGTATTTTTTCCGTAAAACAACCTATATGTGAAAAGAATTCTTATGTGAATGTTTAATTTTATCATTTCTGTTTAAAAAACAATTTGCATATAAATTCTTTTTCACTATTAAAAAAGGGTGTTAAACAGCTTATCCTCGTGAATGAACTTATTTTAAAAAAATCCGTTAATTAATTGTTAACAAATATTGCTTGTTAAGTTGGTTTTTACAAAAAAAACCCAAAACAGGGAATTTAAAAGACATGTAGAGATTTATTTTGACTTAAATACATTTAAAATACTGACAAAGGTTTGTTTGCTGATATCAAACTTGTTTGATAATAGGACATTTGATGGCATGCAATAAAAGAATGAATGCAATAGAACTTTTTTTGTTGTATGATGAATTTTGTGGAGATTTATTCTAGTCTTTTTAATTTAAAAAAAACGTTGAATCATGATTGGATGTGTTTGTGTCCGGTCTTTTCCTAAAAAAAATATTTAATATCAATTCTCTATAAAAATCAAAATTTTAAATAGGGTCGTGGACATGACATATCTCCGATTTAGCTGAAATTCACACCATTTACTACAATTGGTATGTCTTTAATAAATATGATGTTAAAGTTAACTTTTCATTTTGGTTGCCATGGTAACAGGGATGTTATATTTAGAACCCTCTGATTAAGCAAATTTTGCTCTGTTTTAAATTAAATTTGTGCACATTCAATTAATTAGTAAAAATTCACATGAAAATTATATTATGTTAGCTCATTTACTTAAATCTAAGAAATTAATTTCATTAAAAAATATTTGAATGAAGATTAAACGAATTTTCATTGCAGCATTAAGGCTGTTAGCATATTGGCAATTTGCCAAATTTGTCATTTTTAGTCATATTCAATGAAATTTTTCACCATTTTGACAACTGATATATTTGTAACCATGTATCATGAAATAAACTATATATTCTAAGAATTTATGAGAATAAAAAAAATTAATGGGTAAATCAAAAACTTTCTAGAAATTAT